ATCATAAATTTAAGGAAAATAAATTCTAGAGCTTTTTCTGTACCTCGTGCATCTCTCTCATTCATTAAATTTAGTTGTAAATTATGCTACCAAAGTAACAATTAATTTTTTAACATTATACAAGAATTGTACGCGTTTTCTTCTACATTCCCTTAAAGATGGGACATACGAAATCGTAATATCACTGGTTTTACATTGAAATCCGCGAGTAATATAAAATCGGAGAGCGGAATAAATATATCAAATATTTTAACGGATTTTTTAAAATTCCTGTCAACTATACAGAAAACTGTCATAAAAACATACAGGTAAATTCTTATCGATTGGATTAAGTTATAAATCTACTCGCGATTCACGTAATCGGGCTAACAGCCCAGAACCGGTCCTGGATAGAATTGGATGCAATATACCACTCAAGGTCCAAGGCTTCCACCGGCTAAACTGGATGAGGTTTGTGCTCTGTAAAGCGAATGCGCGAATCTGGCTTTTTGGATGCTGACGATACAGCGGTTCCACTCCGCCACTAATATTCGAATATACAATACCAATCTTATTTTTTTCACGTGTAGTATAGAAATTTGTAATACGATACATAATGCGGTTATAATAAAATATTGCGCGACTATTTTCGTATAATTAAAGTTAATATGTATTTATTTTTCAGAAAATACAAGGGAAGCGGCGCATCCAACGCTTCTAATGACGGCACGCCACTGCTAATATAAATAAAATATTGACAATATTCATTGCACGTGATTCACGACCGTATTCTATTGTTCAAGATAAGGCAGTTGTGCAATTTATACAAGAATTAGAATCAAGATATAAACTACGCTCACCAAAATACAAAGGCAACATACTTGTACCCAAATTATACAAAGAGTGTAAAGTTGAAAGTTACGATCACATAAGTAAGTGACCTATGTATCCGTAACAACCAATATGTCGACTATAATAATATATATAATAATATAAATAATAACTATAAGTAATCAGTCATATTTAACTGTAACATGCCATTTTATTTTTAATGATATATTTACATCGTGTGTACTTGAAACGCTGATAGTGTCTACTGCTCATACATCTGAGAATATAGCAAATATGCTGAAAAAGATTTTTTTTAAATGTCTCTAGAAGATAAAATCGTATGTATAACAATGGACAATGCAGACAACGTGTTAGGTGCATGCAGTATATTAAAAAATCGGGAATCTATCTTGTTTTGTCCACAGCTTAAACCTCGTTGTTTAGGATGCTCTAGTTGGAGATGAAAAACTAATAAGAATAAAGAAAAATGTAAAGAAATTGTAACGCACATTAAAACCGTAATGAAAACTTCTGATAAACTTCAAATATCCAAACCGAACGAGGAAAAATGCCTAAAAAGTAACTCAGAAAGTAGCAACTCGTTGGAGCATTTATTTAAATATGATAAGAAGATTATTGGAATTAAAAGATGATGTAGGACTCGCCCTTATTTCATTACAAAAATCTCCCTTGCCACTGACAGCCGAAGAAATTGTAGTTTTACAAGAAAGTTTTTTTTTTTTTTTACCTTTTGANCCATTGAAAATTATGATAGCGACAATTCGCGGTATTCATTTTTCTTTCCTCTTTTTTTTTTTTTTTTTTTTTTTTTTTGGACGTTTTGAACAAGTATCTAACAGCGTCTCGGGCGATACTTACTGTACGTTACATTGGTTACAATATCAATCGTTCCAATTCTTCTAGGACAACAATATTTCTCGTCAAGCTGAAAACACTAAAAAATTCCGTTGCTATAGAATGCTTTAAAAAGCTATCTAATCATTAAAAAGAGTAATCAAGAGATTGAATGGGTACGAAACACGAACCCTATGCGGCATTTCAACAATTTTAGATCTTACATTAAAAGAGCCCCGCTTATCGACATAAGGAAAACTATAGACGTTTTTCAAAAGCAATAACAAATGAACTTGCAAATACAATAAATTCAACTTCAATGGATGCCGAATCATCCGGACTTGAAAACGAACAAGAGAATAAAGAAATAAGTCTAAATAATGCACCCGATTTTTTTTTATTTCTTAAGAAAGAGTAGACATTAACCAAATATGATACAAATAATTCAACAGCGGACGCAATTATTGCTTTTTGGCAGTATATCAAATGTGAGAGCCAAGTTTGGTGAAAAAAATTTTTGTTCAATTTAGTTTTTCGTTAAAGTTGTTTTGCTAAAATCGTCAAATTAAATTATTTTCCCACGGACTTACTTCCTTGTTGAAGATGATACATCGAGTGTGTCACCCGGAATCAGCGGGTGAAAATGTGACTATTGGTCCCGATGTACAGTACTAAACCTCCTAACGAAGCCATGGGAAAAACCCAGGAGGAGCCCCCGAATAAAAGGGAGGGGGTGACAACAAGCCGAAGCAGTCGTCATCAACCCTTTTTCCTAAGTGTGTGTGTGTTCGCCGATTTCAGCCGTCGCCACTCGCTGCCCTCGCAAGAGAAAAAGAACTTTCCTTCTTCCAGAGTCACTGAGTCTTCATTAACCGATCATCGATTTTCCGAGTCTGGGATTACCACTACTGGGATTCAACAAGTGATTAAGGTATTTACCATCTCGCGAACTTACTGTGAGCTTTCTCTCTCGATCAGGGTCGCGTTAGGTTTATCTATGTATCTCTCCCTTTAGCAATTACGCTAAGCATCTGGATTATTATTGTAGAAACTTGTAAACAATATCTCGTAGAACTTGTAAATAATATCTATCAATAAACGGGTATTTTGTTCAATGTTAATTTGTGGAGTGTACTTCCTCCGGTCGTTTCCATTCGCTTCCATTCCGAGTCTGCAAGCCCGTGAACGCGACCGCTTGCGCGAAAATTAAAGTAACGGCATCGAAATTTCCGTGTCTGGAAGACACGGTGGTGTCAGTCGTGACAAGGTATCGAAGAGATGCCGACCCCGCGATTACGCAAACGATCTATCGAGCCTCCAAATTCCAACCTGTTTCAATTTTGAGTCAACAACGGTAGATATCCTTATTTCGATAATCCGAAAACAATTTATCACAAATACATCAGTATTTGTGGTTCCTCTCAACTCGAGAGAGCTTTCTCGACAGCCGAAGATATTATCTCTGGAAAAAAGAAGCCTTAATCGGCTTTTTTTCCAGCCGAGAAATGTAAACTATTTAATATTTCTGAAAAAAAAAATTATGGAAGTATAGCTTGTTTGTTTAATAAATAAATCCGATTGTTTACTATGTCTTTATTTGATGTCCACTTTACATTAATTGGTTAGCAATCGATTGTAAATCGGATAACCGATAGTATCGCTACTATCGTTATTTTCTCATTTAACCTGAGGATGGTCTATCGAATAGGCCGAAAACGTTAGTTACGTTTAAATAAATTGTCTCAGCAACTTAAGGTGTAGTTGTGTGGTCTATTAATCAAATTTACACAATAAACGGATAGCCTGTCAGATTACGGAACAATGAAAACAGCTTATCACATCAAGACAAGAAGGAACCAAACTCAAATTATTCAAACATAACTTTAATTAATATGGGAAATGCATTTCGAGTACACAGATCCCTCATTAGCCCATTGAAAATTTTAATCAATGGTCTAATTTAATGAACTCGCATAAAATAACGTGGCATTTTCAGTATCTTTAATTCTTTCGCTACAACTGATAATTTCAAGCATAAGATGTTTAATCTGCTGATTAAACATCTTATGCTTGAAATCTTACTAAACACGAAAAGATTACGAAAACGAAATCGGGAGTCATGAAGTACTTTTACAAATAATAATTTGTAGTCCACCAGTGGCCGAGTGGACTCCGACCCCGCACTTTGCGTGGACCTAGTCCCTAAACACTGGGAGTTCGGACTGGCCACGTGGAGTTTTCCGGTTTTTCTCCACGTCTGTAACGCCTAAATAGGAGCTAGTTTTCCTTAAAAGACCTCCCGGAAGGCATTATTCCCGCGCATGCTAATACCTTATTACCGGATTAATACCGGAATACTAATATATTATTCCCTCCAATTACTAATATCATTCACTGTATTTTCACTTTCCACGGGACGATATAGCCGCTGTAGCTGATGCCCAACTTGTTATAACCAATAACAATAATTTGTAAAAGTATTTACTGTCTTTCTATTGTGAACTATTCTTTACACTATTCTTTACACTAAGATTCTTTAGCAGAATATTTTTTAATTATTTGTCAATGAGATGTATAACATATAATGCCAAGACGTTATTATGATTTAACAAATTTGCGAACTTGATATCGAAAAGTTTATATATTTTATTTAACATACTAATAACATTGCATTATTTAAATAAATACGAAACTAGCCATAATGTTCAATTACACGATGTTAATTAATTAGAAAATACTAAAAAGTCAAGCACACAACAAAACTTTAAAATTGTATCCTTTTCATAAGTGATATTTCCATTTTATTAATAAAAACTGTGTTATCTTTGTAATAAAACAGAGAAAAGAAATAAAATAAAAATTCTATTTTAAAAAAACTAGAATAAGGTTTCTTGCTCAGCGAAAATTTAAATTTTTCTCAAAGTTTCGATTGGATTGATAAGTAAAGAACTTTATATGGACCAGGAGTATTTTTCTACGGGAAACCGACTCCAATTTAGAAGTTTAAACACCTGACGAAAAAATCGGAAAACTACATGTTGGCTAGCCCGGTGGTGAAGCACCAATCCACGACCAATTCCCAATGTTTAGTGGTTTTATTCACTTAGCCACCGGCTGGCACACTTAGAGGGCTAGTTTCTTATAAAAAGTCATCTTGGGAGGTGTCTCCTTCTTGGCAAATAACACAAGTGTTGCGTTGCTTTATTCCATCAATCCCGTTAACTCCCTTATATATATATTTTAAAATTAAAAGCAAGTTTACAGTATGAAACTAGTTACGTAAATGATTAAACAATCAAATTTTATAAATTAAATAATACATCATTATTACTTACTTATCCGAAGGACCGAAGTAATCCTCTCCTTGGATAATTTGCATTGACATCATTATTTCTGAATATTTAAAGTTAAAAAATAATGTATAGTATAATTTATTCTCTAAAGCGCTTATTACGGATAAACGTATTACCCAATGAGTGGCATATTTTATACCGTTTTTATCTGTCTTATCGTATGACGTAAAGTAATTTTGAAACATAAATAGAAAAAAACAAACATAAAATTATGAATAATCTCAAATATTAATTGAATTTTCCAAATTTTACATCTCAGATACATCTCAGTAAATTTCAAAACAAATACATCTCAGTAAATTTCAAAACAAATACATCTCAGTAAATTTCAAAACAAATACATCTCAGTAAAAAATTTATGTAAATGTATATAACAATCAAATATTTTCCTTAGGAGTTTTTCTTTGGTAAAGTAAGCTTCGCTCTTTAAAGCGAAATGTAAGAAACAATCTTGTAAAATACAAGCAAAAATCTTGTGGGTACCGCTCGAAGCGCCAAGCTTACTTTACCAAAGAAAAACTCCTAAGGAAAACATTTGATTGTTATCTACATTTTCATAAGATTTTAACTTGGCGCAATTTTTTACATCTTAGTTATTTTTGTTTGGATATCAATTGTTTTTTAGTTAATGATTGCGTTATGACATCAAGACCTGAGACGATGAGGTACAGTTCCATCAACGCTAGGCGTAGCCTCCGACTAAACGCTTTTAATATATCGTTTAGTAAAATCGTTATAAAAAATTTTGATTGGCAAAAATTTGACTTTTTGTTATTCTGGGTAAAATTTTTAATGAAAATCATCCGCTTGAATGCAACTTTTTCCTTATAAGCATAAAATTAAGCCATAAGAGTAAAATAAGCTCTATGGGGAACTTTCGTGAGCTTTTTTCGACTCGGAAGTTTCGCCAGCACCTCATTGATAACGAGAGAGCTTACGTTTAAAATTTGAGCTTTCTAGACTCAGTAGTTTTTCTCTCCGCGGCCGGATGGCCGAGCGGTCAAGGTGGCAGCCTACCGCTCTGGGGGCCCCAGGCTCGAATTCGAACGGGTCGAAAAATCACCGGGAATTTTTCGGGGGGTGGTCTGTTCGGATATGTCGGACCCCCGTCCCTCACCACCCGGCAGCCCCATTGTGGGCCTGGCCGAACCCATAATGGGCTTGGACGTCTACCATAATCAATTATTGATTTGATATTCGCAAAATATAGCCATCTGAACATGGTTTTAGATTAATTAGCAATAACGTCATAACATGTCATGCCTAACAGCAAGCCTTTTCAGCAATTTATTACTATGTTGATTCAAAGATAATTTATTATCAATATCACATCCGAATTATTTATAGATTACGCATATTCAATACTTTCACTATCAATCAGAAATGGAACATCCGCACTAGAGATCTTAACAAAACACTCACTTTTCATTTGTTTTAAAAATATTTTCAATTGCATTTTCTTTAACCTATTCACTATTATATTTAGATTTTCTGGTAGCATAATAGGATCATTACTGATAATTTTTAAGTCATGTGCGTATAAAATTATTATAGAATTTATTTTCGTTAAGATATTACGTAACGTTAATTGTTACATAACACTGACAATCAATTGTACTGTACTGACTTGTCTGTCCACAGAAAGTGAGCAGTCAGTACTGAGAAATTTATTGTTTAATACAATAAATTGCTCAGTACACACTGTTAAGTTTCTGTGAAAGATAATGTTTATAGATTTGATGATTAATCAGGTGCAAGGTGTATAACATCATATTAAGGCTGCACGACACTCGCAATTTTTCCATTAAGAATGAATAAATACAGTATTACAGTAGAGCCTCGATTATCCGACCCCTGATTAACCGATACCTCGGTTAACCGACCGTCCTAGTCGGCAAATTTCAAATGTCCGCTAGTGATGTGGCGCTACAATATTTGGCTATGTAATGGCTACTTTAATATTATTTTTACGTGTTTTAGCTGGCAACACTCATTCGACCATGAAAGGGAGCCAATATTTAAACGAGGCTTAATTTTCTAATTTTTAACGATACAATAGCAACGATTATTATTTTTAAAACTTTTTGTTAGGCTTAACATCGATGAAAATTCAACGCGAAGTAGGTTAATAGCGATATACTAATATACTAATATACTAATTACATGGTATATACTTATATACTACACTACTAATGGATTTTTTCATACTTTTCGGTTATCCGACTTTTCAATTATCCGACCAACCTCAGTCCCCAGTTGAGTCGGATAATCGAGGCTCTACTGTATTAATGAAGAATGGAGAATGACATCATTGATCCAATCTAAATTACGATGATTACGATCGAATTTTAATCCGAATGTTTAAACGTTTAGATGACGGTAGCGACCAAGCAGGACCAGGCGGTCCTCTATGCCAGTAATCTGCCGATGGTGTCCTGAACCTGGACACTGTGTGTGCGAGCTCTCTTTTGTCCACTGGTCACAACACCTCCTTATAGTGTTGTTAAAAACGCCTAGGTGGCGGGCTATTCGGCGAAATAACTATCCGGCTTCTCTCAACCCGATGATTCTTTCCCTCTTAAGCTCGGTTAGTTGCTCATATGGTGACGTAAAGACATCTCTGGTGATATAGGTGATATAGACAAGACGCTTTTGTGAACTTTTTTATAGGCCAAAAAGGACACAGTTTAACGCCCTCTGCTGGCATTACACAATGAGCCATCACGCTATAACTGTAATCATTTTCATATCTACTTGAGACTTATCTGTATGTCAAGTTTCGCTGCGATACGGCAACTCTTTCTTAGTGGTCTAATCTTTATGGCAATGAGTGTATTTAACTAACAACAAAAGACAATTTAATTATTGATAAAAACTGTTAGCTTAAATTTTTTAGTAGAAACTTTAAACACATATTACAATTAATTAAGGGCCCACCAGTTCCCTGGTGGGCCCTTAATTAATTGTAATGTGTTTTACAAGCGTTTAATATTCAAGCGTTCTTCGTTCCCTGAACACTGGGAGTTCGGTCGTGGGTTCGCGCCTCGCTCGGGGGCTGGCTACATGGAGTTTTCTGGGTTTTCTCCACGTCTGTAACGCTTAAATAAGGCATCCCCTAGTCAGATCGCCCAAGTGTTGAGTTGCTAATAGCTAAACAAACAATAAATTAAGTGTTTTCATGTTAAATATACGAAATGTCATATTCGGAAATAAGAATATTTTAACAGAAATTTGAATGGTCGACCAGTTTAATGATGTTTTTAATTACTTTTATCAGACATATTGTCTATTTTAATGAATTTCTATTGTTCAAATAAAAAAATGAGAAGAATCGCACTTATTTTGTTACAAGGTATTAGAACTATAATAAATATAATATGAATACAGTAACAAGTTTTAAACTTTATATTTATGAGAATGTTACAGTACTTATACTGTCTAAAATCTGTTACATTTTAATGTTACCAAATATTCCTTTCGTTAATTTTTTATTTTCAAAGCAATAAGTTTTTCCACTAAAAATATTTTTCGCAGTTTTATATTAAACTTTCAATTATATTTATCATGTAAACTTGTGCCGTTTACAAATTTAAGAAAGAACAAGATTATCATTTATCGGAAATGCTTATAAAGATGTTTTTACTTTAAAAATTGAAGATAAATCAACTGTTAATCTGTAATCTGTTAATAAATACGCAAGTCGATCATTTAATTTGCAGAATAATTCTAGAAGTTATTATTGTTCAATTTCTCACGAAGATTCATTTTTTTCAAAACAATATCTCTTGAACAACATTGCATTTAGATTCTAGACCGTCGAGAGCTTGTACGGACCCAGAAGTAAAGTGGCTCTTTTTAGCCATTTTTTAAAACAAACAAAATATGTAGAAAGTTTCTTTATTAATAAAAATCAGTTTTAAAGATTTTATTTTCTGTTAGTAAAAAGAACATTAATTTCATAGGGAGTAAGAACCACTGCGGAGTCCTAATTTTTTTTTTTTTTGGACTCGGAGGAAAATCTCTAGTTTCCCTTTCTTGACAGTTCTGAAGCAAACTTTACAATTTAAGATGGCGGCGTTTGTTCGAAAATTGACAAGTTTTGTTTCGACGCATGTTACGATAAATAGTACGTATTTTCTTCGTTACGACGTCATTTGGAATATAAATTTTTTAATAATATTATCGTCGTGTAAAATATGCTGCGTGCGTCCTGGAATCCATTTTTCAAAAGACAATACAGTAGAGCATCGAATATCCGGCCCCCGATTAACCGTCACATCGGTTAACCGACCGTTCTAGTCGGCAAATTTCAAATGTTCGCTAGTGATGTGGCACTACAATATTTGGCTATGTCTTGACTACTTTAATATTATTTTTGTTAAATTTTTGCGTGTTTTAGCTGGCAAAACGGCTCGACCATTGAAGGAGACCAGTATTTAAACGAGACTTAATTTTCTAATTATGAGTGGTTGTTTGTTTTGTGGGCAATAAATTAATTTAAAAATAATTTTTAACGATACAATAGCGACGATTATTATTTTTTTAAAGAATTTGTTAGGTTTAACATCGATGAAAATTCAACGCAAAGTTGGTTAATAGCGATATACTAATATACTAATTACATGGGATATACTAATATACTATACTAATAATGTATTTTTTTTTCATTCTTTTTGGTTATCCGATTTTTCCAGTTATCCGACCAACCTGAGTCCCCAATTGAGTCGGACAATCGATGCTCTACTGTAATATGTAGTCTACTGGACCGTGACCGTCTTTATCAGAAAAATCAGAAAAATTGGTTCGAAACATTTGCCATCCTCTTTTTATTCGACGGATTTGATTCTTGTATAAGTGCTTTCTGTTTATAAAGTTCAAAAAAAGAAGCATTTCAACTCCAGGATGATCTAACCATAACGACTACATTTTGCGTTTGAAAGATGGTTTCCAGAAAGCATTTAACGTATGAAAGAAGAAAGTGTCTATTGTTGAAGGGTGCATTTTAAGAAAAAAATCTTCAAAGTT